ATATGGGCAGGAAATTCCATTCTCTCTGCAAAGAAACCCAGACAGCACTGGAGTGATCCTCTTGAAGGACAACTTTCCAAGATGGCGGAGAATCCTCAGCAGGAATATACAGTTTCTCTTCTCCATGAAGAGATCAATCTTACAATCAATCTTAAAATTACCCCTGTATTAGAGTCTGAGGGCTGCTATAGCAAAATACCATGAACTGGGTGTCTTGAACAATGGAAATGTATTACCTTGAAGTTCTGGAGGCCAGAAGTCCAAAATGAAGATGGGCTCTCAAAGGCTCTAAGAGAAAATCTGTTCCAAGCCTTTCTGCAAGCTTCTAGCATCAGCAGGCGCCCTTGGCTTTCCTTGCAGCTGTATAACGCCAGTCATTACCTCTGTTTTCCCATGGCCTTCTCCTTGTGTCTCTGGGTCTTCAGAGAGCCACTTTCTTACAGGGACACCATTCACATTAGATTGGGACCCACCTGCTCCAGTATCACCTCATAGGTAATTACATCACCAATGACCTTATTTCCAAATAAGGTCACATTCTGAGGTACTGGGCTTAGGACTTCAACCTATCTTTTTTTCTTTTTTTTGATGAGGGGCACAATTCAACCCATAAATATTCCCACTTTTCAGGCAGGAGCTTGAGTAATACTACAAGGCTACTGCAGTGTCAGGATTAGAACCCCGATCTGGTGGACTCCAAAACTGTTCTTGCAGGACACTGTAGTGCCTCCTGTCTGTGAATCTACTCACAGACAGTAAATAAGAGGAATACAAATTAGCATATGTGTAGCTATCTTTTTAACAAATTACTTTCATTGAAGAGAGCAAAATTTCTTGAAAAGGAAGATTAATTGAAGCAAAAGAAAAAAAAAAGTAAAGGAAAGGGGAAGAAACACAGTCAGGAGAGCTCCTTTCCGGATGCCTGTGCTCTCCTGGGCTCACCCCTCACTGGTTTCTGTGCTTGAGATAAATAGGCAGACTGGGACAGGACTTGGCCATTTCAGCAATATTTAGATGGCTGCAGAGATAAACTGATAGATTATGTGAACTCGGCCATTAATTCACCCTCGAGTGACCTGTGATTTTTGTCCCTGTGTTACATACTCGATCTCCACCTCATCTCCGGGAGATTCTGCCACCACAGCAGAGCTTGAGGCGGGCCTTTGGAAAATGGTGGAAGTGGGTTGGACAGTACCCTTGCTGGTGAGCTCATTGCTAGCAGGGTGATAGAACTCCAGGGACAGGGTCACCGGTTACGTTGGCCACAGCCTGCACTGAAGGGTCAGTGGGGAAAGAGTCACCAGCACTTGCCCAGGACAAGGAGGAAACAGATTCAATATCCATTGCCTGACCCAAAGAGCTCAGCCCGTCCATCAGGTCACAGTATGTAACACGCCCATTCTTCTCCAGAGCATCAGTGAAGGTACCATGTATCTCTTTTTTCCTCCTGTTGACAGATGAGGAAATGGAAGGTCATCTGTTCACCCAACAAGTCTTTGAGCACCTATTAGGTAGGACATCTCAGTCTGTTGCCTGGCCTGTGGGAGGGTTAGGGAAGGGGTGGTATGACATTTAAAAGCCCAGGCTTAGGGGCAGTTGGACCTATGGTCAAATCTCAACTCTTCTCCCAAAAGACCCTCCCTCTCCCATCATCCCTCCAGGAAGGCCTCTCTTGGAGAATGGAGAAGCCCTTCTCCCAAGCTGAGACTGAATGTGGTACATGGGAAAAAGCAGCCTAGACATGGTGTAGTCTAGACTCTCCAAGCTGGGTGGACTTAAGCAACTTAGCTTGACAATCAGCATATTAGTCAGTGCACCTTTGGTGGCAAGGGACAAAAACCCATCTTGAATCAGCTTAAGCTAAAGAAGAAAATGTATTGTGTCTTGTCTCCAAACTACCAAAGGGGCTAGATTTTCAAATGAGTGATTTGTGCCCTTCTCTTCCTAACTCTCGTCTCTGCTCACCTCTGACTTAGTTTGGTTCTTCTCCTGTACAGACTGACTTTGATGCCAGGGATTGTGGCTGTCGGTAGCTCTGGGCTTAGAGGATGCCAGTGTCATAACCCAAGGGAAACAGATTTCTTTCTCGCAGCTTTAATCTATAAAAATCCAAAGAATGGGTCATGTGCCCTTCCCTGTAGCCATCAATCACTGGCTGGTGGCAGGTGCAACATGATTGGCTCTTTCAAGGTCAGTGCCTCCTCATGGTCAGGGCAGCTAAGATCTGTTAACAGAAAAATAGGAAGAGGGGGTGCTTTGAAGGTACAAACAGTACCATTACAGTCTATCCCTTAACCCCGCAGAGGACGTGTGTGTACATACACTCGCACTCCTATTAATTTGATTATAAAAATCTCATCTAACACAATCCACTATCCCATATATGGCCAAATGCACCTACCCTCACCCTAAGGTGAGACCACCCATGGTCATAGTACACCCAACTCCAAGCCTGGCATTTCTGGGTCACGAGTGTTACTCTCCATCAGAACTCAGTGTGGTGCCTTGTGATCCTGAAGTCTGTGGGCCAAATGGAAGTGAAGCCCCCCACCCCCAAATGTAAAATGGATGGAGGACAGATCAGGGCTTAAATTTTAAGTGAGACACTTCCAAACTGTAGTAACATAGGCAGACTACATAGTTTCGAATTCTACATAAAAACGAGTAACATGGAGTAACATGAGTGGTTACCAGTCAGAACATATACCATATGCCAAAAGAAAGGTTTGCATCTAAGACAGAGAGATGTAATAGTCATTAGGATCAGCCTCTTCACCTATAAAATGGGTTAATAAGAAGCGTGTGAGGACTGAATTTTTTTAAATAAGGCATGGCACTTAGTAAAGTAGATAGCACATAGTAGATACTCAATACATATTCTCTCCTCTCTCTCTCTCTCTCTCTCTCTCTCTCTCTCTCTCACTCTCTCTCTCTCTCTCTCACACACACACACACACACACACACACACACACAGTTTTTGATCTGATGACAGTGACCTCATGCTGACAAAGTAAAACAACCATTTCCCCCCTTCCCCTCTCCCTCCCTCTCCTTCCTCCTTTTTTTCCTCCTCCTGCCCATCCTTGGACACTCTGTCCTCTAGTGACCTATTGAGCTAAAGTTGGTGTGAAGCTGTCACCACCATGGCCCGTGGAAGTCCTCACTCCCAGCCCAGATGTAAACAAGCATCCATGCCCCAGGGCCGTGGTTCCCTCTGTGACACAGGAGGGACATACATTGTTGAACAAGCACAGTGACAAGATGTAGGCTTTTCCAGAGCTGTCACCATCTGATGTGCCCGCTCCAGGGAGGCAATGTTTCTTTTAAAGATGGACGGACTGTTCTTAGTTGACCAAATCACCTCTGTCTTATGAAAGAAATTCAGGGTGATCAGGGGTGAGACGCATCTCCAGCGAGGCTAACAAATTCTGCACTTACCAGGGTGGTGTTGAGGGAAACAATTGCTCCATAATGAGCCTGTATCCTCTGCTAGACCCTGCTCTCCACCATGAGTGAGGGGGACAAGAAGCCCACAGTTTAAATAGACAGCAGCCCACCCATGAATGAGATCAAGTGGCATGTAATATTTCCCTCAGTCGTTCCCTATGAGGGCCGTTTAATTCCAAGGGCTGGCTGGGTCCTCGGTCTAACCTTCAGTTATTTCCAAGTGCAAGGGTGGAAAGAGCACTGGTTTGGGGTCCCATAGATCTAGATTTAAGTCTTTGTTCTACCATCAATTAGTTTCAGGTCTCAGACAGCTCACTTCACCTTTCTGGGCCTCTGTTCAATCATCTAAGAAAACAGTTTAAGCATGCCAAGGGTCCATTGCACCTGGGTCATTGCAAAGATCCTCGGATTCAAAGAGAAACAAGCAGTAGTTCAGCACATGGGCTCTGCAGCCAGATTGCTTGGGTCCAAACCTAACTCCACAGGTATAAGCTGTGTTTCCTTGGGCAGGTGACTTAGCCTCTCTGGGCCTCAGTTTCCTCTTCTACATTGAGTGGGAATATTAATACTTACCTCATAGGGTCATTCTAAGGATTCACTGAGACAATATATGTAAAGCAGTTAGCAAAGTGCACGTCCAAATTAATGATTATAAGGACCTATGGGGAAAGTCTTTATAAACTGTAAAGTACCATCTTTGTGTACTATTTACCAGGAAGTACAGGAACACGTGTACTACTTTAAGAAAACTAAGTGAATGGTTTGTACTTAGATAGCTGTTTTACATTATTTAAAATTTTCCTTTCGGATGAAAGCATTCACCTTGGCCCACAAGGTGGGCAAACTATAAAGTACTTATACAGCACTGTGACTAGCTGGTTTTTTATTCCACTCACCTTAACTTTGTGCCTGTTATATTCAAGACACTGTGGTAGAGACGTTTACACAAATAAGTCCATGTTAACCTCATTGGGCTGTTATTTTCATCCCCACAATGAAGAAAACTAGGCCTCAGGGAGGTAACTGGCCTAAATGCACTAGGTCAGCACGAGAATGTAACCAAAGTGATACGACAACCTAGATCTTGAGATATCCCAGGCCAGTGTTCCTTCCAAGGGAAAATAACACCTTAAGCCATCTTGCAGAAATGATAACAGGCTGTCAACTTATCAAGCTCTTCAGAGCTGTCCTAATACAGGTCTCACCTGCTTGGTGCTTAGGGAATGATGTTGGCTTGGGTTACTGGGTGCCCAGTTGTCACCAGTAGAGCCCAGGGGCATGACCTTAACCCTGGCCTTGGAAAGGTCCCTCCCTCCTCTCTGTTGACCTCCAGGGCCCACAGCCTCACCCATGGGACACCACTGCCCTTATAGATCATGTTCTGCCAATGCACATGAGTTTCAGTCTCTCTTGTTTCTACTTTACTGCTCAGAGGAAGGAATTGGTACCAAAAGGTCAACAAGGCCACATAGCCAGAGGCACACTGGGTACTCCTGAAACCCTTTCAGCTTTGTCCCCTCTGCCAAATCTGACTTTTCTCATCTCCCCAAAGCTAAGTACATCGGCTGCTACCTGGATGACACCCAGAGCCGGGCCCTTCGAGGCGTGTCCTTTTTCGACTACAAAAAGATGACCATCTTCCGTTGCCAGGACAACTGTGCAGAACGGTAGGGCCCCACCAGTGTCCCAGGCATTCAGACCCCTTCCTTCTCAGATTCCTACCTGTGGTGGTCTTTCTTTTTCCGTGGGAGGGCATGATGGAGGATGAACATGTGGCTACAAGGAAAGGGTGATGTGTGTGTGTGTGTGCGCGCATGCGTGCGTGCGTGCATATGCATACGTGCGTGCAACTGAGCAGGGAGTTGGTCTGTGGGAATTTGTGAGGCTCTGCCTAGGAGTGAGTTTGCAGTGTACAGTATGCAGGGTCATATGTTTGTAAGCTTAATGCCAATACCTAACTGTCTTTAAATAACAGTAGCTGTGAGTGCAGGAGTCTCTGTGGATATGTTTGCAAGGGTCCCGAATTGTGGGGAAAGCACAAGTGGGTGTTTACACGCAGGCAAGTGTGAGTCTGTGAGCATGAGGCTTGTGTGATGCCCGTGGGAAGGGTGAGGTGGGAGCCCGGGATCAGGGCTATTTAATGGTTTACCAGCCAAGAAACTATTTGTTTCTCTACCAGGGAGAAACACTCACCTGTCCAGACAGTGTTTTCCAATCTAAGAATAAAATGATGTTCTTGATTAGAACATGCACTGGGGGGAGGGAGCTGACTTTCCAAGAGTGGATGAGGCCCCAGAGGACTGGCGAGTTGGCACCCTCAGTCCAGGCCTGGGAACCAGCACTGCTGCCCTAGAGACACTGTGGAGTGAGCTGACCTTCTTCTCCCCTGTGCCCTGGGTCCCCTGACGTGTGATGGCTTGTGAGAGGCCTCTAACATGCTCATCTTCAGGCTCTAGCCTGATCACAAGCTCTGAAGGAGCTCCACTGCATGGCTGGAGTGGAAATGGGCAAGTGGGTGGCCAAGGGACTCTTCCCTCAGTTCCTGACTAGGACACACTGTCCCCTTTATAATCAGCTTTCATAACAGTTCACCATTGAAATCCTGAGCCCAGGACCATCTCCAGCTTGGGAAAGACTCCAAGCTCTTGAGGATATTGATTCTTAAATTTATTTATTGAACGGTGGGGAGACAGAAGTGAATTTCAGAGTCCATGCCCTTAGAGAGGTCTTGTGGGAGTTGAAGAGTTAATATTTGCAAAGCAAATATTTGAGTGCCTGGAAGAGAGCAAGTGTAAGCTATTGGCATTCTGTGGCCCAAACCTGTTCTTGCTTCTGCCTCCCCAAGTAGCTGGGGAGCCCCTTGGGGGCATGGCTGCAGCTGACTCATCTCTGCATCCATCTGGAAACCCATGTGGGCAGCCACAAGTATGCGCTGAACCAGAGTGAATTACGCGAGTTGATCTGACTCATCTTCTGAAGCTCCACCTTGGCTGTCACCTCCTCTGAGAAGTCTCTCCTGACACTCCAGGCAGGTTGGGGGCCTCTTCTGCATTTCCACAATCTGGGACTTACTCCATCTCAACCCTCATCTCACTATGCCGGCGTTTTCTGGTTAAGCGCTTGTCACTCCATCTAGGCTGTGAGCTCCAGGACGCACACGTCAGCATCACCTGGAATCTCTCAAGATTGCCGGGCCCCACCCGCAGCTTTTGATTTGGTGGGTTTGAGGTAGGGCCCAAGAATCTGCATTTTTAACAAGTTCCCAGGTGACACTGGATGCTGTTGGTCCTGGAACTATGGTTGGAGCACCACTGCTCTGATTTTCACACCAGCTGGGAAATTTTAGAAACTCCTGCTGTCCACTGTTCCTTCTATCAGTGGGTCCATTTATGTGAGACGGGCCCCAAGGGCACCTGAGAACCAAGGCTTGAGAGAGACAGCGACAGACAGGTGGAAGAAGGAGGCTGGCCCAGCTCCAAGATGCCCAGATAGTTTAAGCTGCTCTTACTGCATCTGCCCAGGTGACCGTGTGACCACACGCTACCCGAGTAGTAGGGGTGTTTGGAGACATGAGTCTGGGTGGGTCTGTCCCTCCAGCCAGCCCCCAAAAGTCCCGAGTGTTGGCGTGAGCTGACACCTCCCATAGGTCCAGCCTTGCATGACCAGTATTTTGCAGGCTGCTCCCCCAAGGAGCTTTCACGATTCTGGAAAGTGCCTCAGAGGCCACAGTGGGCAAGAGGACTGAGCAGGGGCCGTCCTACTCCCCTCTCCCCCACCACTTCATACCTACCCTGTGAGGCAGAGCAAGCACTTCCCTTTTCATCTGTTTACAGAACAGGTCCTCACTAAAAGTCCCTTTTAGGAAATGATTCCAGAGCTATGAAAAAAAATTGACAATCTTGCAGTGCCTGGATATTTTTTTTTTTGTTTTAAGGAAAGGAATTTTTTACTTGGCTGGATACGTGACCTTGGTTTTGCCACCTTCCAAAGACATACGAGAGTCCCTGCCCCCTCCCCTGGGTCCAGCTCCTCTCAGGGGACATAGAGGCATCATTCCTGGGGGATGTTTCCTGGAATAAAGAGGCTGGACTTTGCAGATATGATTGGCTTGTGGCTCTAGACAGGGAAGAGCAAGAGAGTGGGTGGGGCAGAGGGACCACAGGACCAGAGGGGTGTGTGTGTCAAGTGTCCTGTGTGTTGAAGGTATATGTAGATGGGTGTGAATATGATGTTGTGTGTCTATGTGGGTAAGTGTATGGGGGTGTGAGACATGAGGCAGGGATGGGAGCAGGTGGTCCCTGGGGTGTTGTCCCTTCCAGAGTCTCCCTGTCCCCCAGGGACCTCTTTGTATTCCTTCTTGGCTTCCTGCCCATCCCACCTCCAAGACTTTCTAACCCCTTAGCCTCCCTGACCCTCTCAGGGTCTCCTTATTCTCAGTCCAGATCCCCCTGTCCCTTGGAGTATCCCTGTACCTCAGATCTCCTTGGGTCTCCCTGATGCCCAAAGTCTTCCTTGTTTCCCCTCTTCCAGGGAGATAGGGAGACCCCCACCCCAGTCTCCTTATTCCTCTGGGATCTCCCTGTCTCCTGGAAGCCTCTGTCTCCTGTCCCGTGAGGTCTCCCCTGTCCCCCTTCCATCGTCTGTCTCTCCATTTCCCCTGGGACCTCCTGGTCCCCGGAGCCCTCCCGTCCCCCAGGCCTCCTCACTAGGTGAGTCACCCTGTCCCTGGGGTCTCCATGGTGGCAGTTACCCTGGCCTGACAGCAGCCTCCCCCAGGGGTTACCTGTATGCTGGGCTGGAGTTCGGCGCCGAGTGCTACTGTGGCCACAAGATCCAGGCGACAAACGTGAGCGAGGCGGAGTGTGACATGGACTGCAAGGGCGAGCGGGGCAGCGTGTGCGGTGGCGCCAACCGCCTCTCCGTCTACCGGCTGCAGCTGGCCCAGGAGTCAGCCCGCAGGTGTACGTGAGTCAGCCCCTCCCCTCTCTGCCCTCACCCACCTGAGCGCTCACCTGTACCTTCCACGGCTCCCACCGCTCCTAAGCCCTCGGCTGCCCTCCAAGGCTGCCACCATCCTGCCCCAGCCTCACCTCCAGCCATGCCCCTCTTCCTCCTTAACAAACAGCTAGAGCCCGAGCTGGCCTGTCCTTCCTCAATTTCTGAAAGCAGATTGTGTCTAACGATGGTGACAATGACAATGACAACAGCAAACACTTCATCGTTTTCCAAGTGCCTTCTATGGGAGAGCACATCTAATCCTCACGATGACCCTTGAAATCGCACTGTTATTCACCCACTCCCATTTTACAGATGAAGAGACAGAGGCTCAATGTCACACAAACAGCAGAGGATTTAAACCAACTCCAGAGCTTATGTCTTTAATGCTCCTGTAGAGAGAATTTATCCCTCGCCTGCCAGTGCTTCAGTCTTGTTGGAAAAACTCTCCAGTTTCCAAACTGAGGGAGGGAAGGGGATGAATAGCCGAGGACAAGAGCCACCCCTTCTTCTGTGGATATTGTCCCGTTGTCCCCTCTCTGGGTGTTTAATAGCAGTTAATGTCTATTTATCAAGCATCTTCCGTGTGCCAGGCACGTGCTGAGCCCACTGCAAGCCTGATTTTGTTTCCCTTCCCTACAGACTTTTCAGGCAGTTACCATGGTTAATTATCTCCATTTTACAGTGAGGAAACCGAGGCTTGATGAATTTAAGTAAGCCTGCCCAAGGTCACACAGTCTTGTGACCTCAAAGGTGACCTTCAGACCTATACGAAGAGCTAATGGCCTTGACGAAAGACAGAGGGCTGAGGTTTGTCCTGGTTACTCTTCTGATGCAGTCCTGAGGTAGGAATAGGAATCCAGAACTAAGAATCCCAAATTTGAATGCTCCAATGAACCCTAGGGAGATCTTGTTAAAATGCAGATTCTGATTCAGCCGGTGAGATTCTGCATTTCTAAGGAGTTCCCAGGTGATGCTAGGTTGCTGGTCCATGGACCACACCTTGAAAAATAAGGCCTTAGACCTCCATGGAGCTGACAAGTTCCACCCAGAATGTCAGCCTGCCCACCCAGGTGGATTTGGCAGAACCTTAATGCCTGTCTGCATGCAGAGAAAGGCCTCTTCCGTATGAATGTCATTGTTTATAAGAATTCATTGCTGGTGTGCTTGACACTGTGTTCTGTTTTCCAAACCCCGTGTTTCTGAAGCCCTGTTCAAGCTTTGCTTTACAATGGGGTCCCGCGTGCCGCCAGTTTACAAAGTGGCTGATTTCTAGAAACAGAGGCACCATCTGCCTCCCCATCGTTGCCTCAGTTCCTCCAGCTCTGCAGGTCTGGCTGGCAGAGGGCGGGGAGGGTGTGTGAAATCCAGGCTGGATGATGTCCATACAGCAAGTCTCTGGTTTGGCCATTAGTGTAATGAGGTTTTAATTTGATAGCAGATTTATCATCCCCAATACTGATTTCTTTATGCCAATGTTTACATTATTTTGATGGTGATGTTGACCATATGAAGAGATGGCCTTAAAGTTGTGTGTATTTAGAGGGAAAGCTGATGCCACTAGAACATTCTAGTGGATGATGCTGAGCTAGATAAATTGGGAGAATTGGGCTGTGTATGTCATCAGCCAGTATCAGCTACACCTCCTTTTGGTTAATGTTCAGATTGGCTGGGTAATACGAACATTCTCCTGTCTTTCTGTCTCTGTCTCTGTCTCTGTCTCTCTCTGTCTCTCTCTGTCTCTCTCTGTCTCTCTCTGTCTCTCACACACACACACACACACACACACACACACACACACACTATTGAGATCACCTGGTATAATAACACTCTCATGGACCAACAAAGATTTTTCAGTCATCAGGTGAAATATATAAACCTCAACACACCGAGACCACTAGATCCCGCTACAATTGGGTGTGTTTTGCCCTGGTAGCAGTGGGAGGGCTGTCTGGGTGGTGGCTGGTGAGAAACCCCTGAGGCTGATGGGAATGCTGCCTCAGATTGCCCACCTCTGCAGTGGTGTTTTGTTCTATCTGAGAAAGGAATCTTTGTATTTATGTCGAAGATGGGGAACCCATTCATTTCTACTGAGACGGGAGTCCTGGATTCTCTAAGTCCACCCCAGTTGTTCTGAATCGTCACTGTACAAGGTTGGAAGCTTGGGCACCTTCAGCTGGAAACTCCAGAAGGAAAGCTAAGCCTTACTAATCTCAAGGCTACTGTAGCTGAGATGAGAGTGGAAGTGGCTTGGATAAGGAGACAGATGGTTTGTCAAATTGGGACTCCTGGTGGGCTCCCAGTTGGCAACATGGTATTTGGAGAGAGCATGGGGACTGTTCATTAAACACTTGATTGCTCCCATGTGTATTAGGCATGGAGAGGACAATGGGGAATAAAGCACTGTCCCTGCCCTCAAGGAGACCACTGTCTAGTGGAGAGACAGACCCAAGACGAGTGGGATCTGTTCAAGCATGGCAGGTATATATAGGAGCCACAGGAGCAACATTTGAGCTGAATCTCATTCTAAGATTTCCAGGTGAAAGGGAGAGTCGTGTATTCAGCCATGAACAAAAGGATCATCAAAGGTGATGTTTTGAATGACCTGTTGGAAGCACCTTCCTCACTGATGCTTCATTTTACGGCTTTAGAAACTGAGGCCCAGACAGCACAAGTGGCTAAATTGAACAGCCCTGCGGGAGGCTCCACAGAAGAGGGCTGACTGACTAAGGCCTTGAAAGATGCATAGGATTTTGCCTGGTGTAAAAGAGGAGGATATCCAGACTCAAGAAATTGCCAAAGGGTGGGGGAGAGATCTAGGCAGAGGGAATAGAGTGTGCAAAAGCTGAGAGGTAATTTCTAGACATTATGGGCAGGCATGATTTTTCCAAGGCCACAGCACTTCTTAGGGACTGAGCATAGGCTGGAACCCAGGTCTCTGACTCCTAGTTTGAGTGCTAACTCTATATAGTGCTGTAGACACCTTGACCTCTTGTATTAGATTTTGGACCCCATTGCCTCTCTTTTGGGAGTGTTCCTTGGATTTAACTTACCTCCTTTCTTCCTTGACCCCTGACCTCTCCTTCTGCCCTGCGTCCTGACTCTACACCATACAGAATATCCAGTGCCTTTGTTCTGACTCAGTGGCTTCCCATTCCTGAGATCTGATTTATACACAAATAAGTCAGAAAGGGAGGCCTTCCACTGGCACACGACACTAGCATGTATTACATTAGGGAGGGCAATGAGCAAACACTCCAGGAAACAGATATGGTGGAAACCAGATTCCATTTGTAGAGTCATTAGTTTGTATTAACACCGTGTCCTAATTGTGTTTCCCTGAGCAGTGGCACAGAACTCTTCATGATTGTGAAGATCCAAAGGAGGCTTATTATCGCCCAAGCATCACGCTGGTGGGGTGTCCACCTTGCGTGGGGAGCCAGCCTGCGTGTTTCCGAGGTGATGGAATGCTCCTGTAGTAGTGAGCGCATTAAAAGGTTGGCAGAGCAAATGTCTGCGGGCATCCTGCTATTCTTTCTTGCCACAGACACTCGGGCACACGGACTCTTTGCCCTTGTTAGAAAAGAACCGAGAAATGGACTTCCTTCTTGGTTGGATTACATTTTTTCACAGCAGTTTGCTAAATGTGTCAGTAAGTGTAGCTTCTCCTCCCAGGGGCAGAGACCTGCTGGTGATTTGAGAGTATTATGGCTTTATAGGGTGTTGCAAGAGATTTCATTTGCCTGAAAGATTCTTGCAAGATTCGCATTGCAAGGCTCATTAGAATTACACAAAATATACAATATGTATGTGGGTCCCGTGGGTGGCTGTCCGTGGTGCTGACAATCCTTTAGTGCTGCCTAAAACCCCCATGACTGCAGACCAGCCTCTCCCAGGACTTGGCACTTTTCCCTCTTGTTTTTTCTTTTCTATCTTGGTGAAAGTATTATGAAGCTCATGTTATCACTGAAACAGTAGATCTTGACTCGTGGGTCACACTGTACCTGGTGGCTCTTGTGTACTGTTGCTAGTTCTGGCGATTTTTTGTCTTTGAAGGTTCGAAGGGAAACGTTGTGCAATGCTTGTATTTTTTGTTCACTGATACTCCATTTTAACCAGTTCTGCTGAGAGGAGCCTCAGATGACCATGGAAAGTCATATTGGATGGATGGGCTATGTCTAGCTCCTTCTTTGCCGGGCCTGGAGGCCTCTCCTTTCCCTTGATATATGCCTGGGACCCCTGAATTTTATAATTCATATGGGTCTTCATGTGTTCTGCTGTGTAGGGCCAAGGAGATGTTAGCTAGAAAATTTTTTCTCCTTCTGCATCACGATGGGGGAGAATTGGTTTGCTCTTCTCCATGAACCGTAATCCAGGAAGGCTATGGGAGCAATGATTGTAGATTTTGAAATCAGGCAGACATTGTTTCTATCCCAACTCCTTCACTTACTTGCTGTGTTGATTTTGGTCAAGCCACTCATTCTGTCTGAGCCTCAAATGCCTCATCTGTAAAATGGGGACAATTCCAACCTTGAAAGATTGCTCTGGCCACCAAGTGAGATAAAATTGAGGAAGCACATAGCACAGTGCCTGTTATGAAGTAGTGGTGATGCACCCTCCTTCCTGAAATGAAAATTCCTCAACTCACTCCGAGTAGCACCCAACTCAAGCTATTTGAATTTCCAACAGCTCACAGGAGCCTCTGGTGATGCCTAAAAATAGCTGGTTTGAATTCTCCTCGGACAGTTAGGCTCTTTGTGTAATTCAATCTCTCTCTGATTATAGGTAGCCATTAACAGCTCCCAGCTCACTGCCTTTCCTCCTCACCAGCATCTTTAATGCAGTAGAGCTTGGCCTAATTACCCAGGGGGTGATGGCCTCTTTCAAACCAAGGAGAACTCTTCCACGCCTGCCTTTAAGCTGATGCCTGGTGGGATTTACCTCATCTTTGTGAAGCCCCAGAACA